AAAAAAAAAAAAAAAAACATCTGTTTGTTACTGTTCTTATTGAATTGCCATTTTACAAAATATTTTCATAATCATTACATTTTAATATAGGTGGTGCTCTACAGGCTGAGAATCACAAAAAAATAAAGATAAAGAGATTTTCAGCCAATTCAAACATCCTTTCACAATTCTAAAGCTAAGATGACTCAGTCTTATGTCTGGTAACCTCTTGTCTCAGTGGAGGTGAAGAACAGGCTTGCTTATTTAATACACTGCTTTCTTGATCACTGTCCAAATAAAAAAGAAGACATGAAGACTCAATGTACTTTACGTTTGGAGTACTGTAAACAGAGAATCACTGTTTATGCCCAACAATGGTGGAGCTCTTCTCTTCTCTCTCTCTCTCTCACACACACACGCACGCACAAACAAATATGATTGAAAACTTACATCTGTTCCAAGCTCACAAGATCAGCAAATGCATCTTCCTGTATGGAGGTGATGTTGTTGTTAACCAACTGTAGATGGCGCAGCTGTACCAGGCCGCTGAAGGAGGTGGTAGAGATGGACTTGATGTGATTATTGTTTAGATCTAACCGCAGTAAACTGGTCAAACCTTCAAATGCTGCATTCATGTCAATAGTCCAGGATATCTCATTGCCAGCCAACTCTCTGAAAATCGAAATTTTGGTGATTACATTTTCAAACGTGTATTCATTTCCTTTGAAATAATCTACTTATCAAAAAACACCTGGCACGATAAAAAATTAACAATTTAAAATTACAGCAGTAACAGAAATCATGCCTGAATGGGCTGAAACCTATGCGATTCTGATAATTATTTTTTCTTAATTCAATTCCCTTCAGATACCATCTCACATTCACAATAGCTGATAGCTGTATGAATACCCTGAGATACTTACAATACTTCCAGATTGCCCATGCTCCTGAAGGCACCTCCCGCAATGTACGAGATCTGGTTATTGGTCAACGTAAGAACGCGTAGTAACGGCAGGAGGTGGAAAGTGCTGTCCTCTACGATTGTGGTCAGTCTGTTACTGGACAGGTCACTGCAAGGCCAGATATTATAACCTTAATGACTATCCTGAATAACTTGTTACATGAATAATTTTCAATATTACTGGGAAAATACTATACAGAAAAAAGTTTGACTTGTTATGGTGCTCTTTATCATAATCTTCTTTTATGAATCCATGTTTAGTTATAAAGTTTAGTTCTTTGATCAGGTGGAAGAAAAAGTTGGTGTTTTGAAGTTGAAGTGGACTTACAGCTGTTGTAACATAGGGCAGCATTCCCATGAGCCTTTGCTGATGTTTGATATGGCATTATGGGACAGGGATCTGGAAAAATAAAACATGAATATATACTTCTTTTTCATAATCATCAAAAATTTCCAAACTATATAATGTAAAATTTATTCAAAATTCAATTAATATCCAGAAAACTTCTTAACATATATATATAACAATGTTTTTAATGCAGTTTTTGCATATTTAACATTACAGTTATCTGTTAAGGATGAGTTTAAGACCTCATTCCCATAGATTTTAGATCAATCTATCCCTGTGAGGAGTCTCACTAGATTACTATCAGCTTAGCCGGCTTAAGTGTCTGTCCCGCCTACTAAAAGCTGTAAGGGGGTAATTAACTATGGTGCACTGACTGATTGGCAATTTAGCGTGAACCCCCACGGAGTTAGGTCGATCTAAATCTAAATCTGTGGATCGATCTAAATCTCTGGGAATGCACCCTAAGACAAGTAGACTAATTCCTGCCGTATCATGTTCACAAACCAAAGGCCATATCTGTATTCACCCAGTGTGTGTATGCAACTCTCATTAGATCACTGTCCCCTTTGCCTTTGTGATAATCAGACTGTTTCCCCACAAACTTTATAACAGTTATCAATAACAGCCAGGTTATACAATAGAACAGCAACCAGGGCACCTGTAGCTCAAGTTCTAATCACTGCTTCAGAGAGGGGGCAAAGGAGGAGGGGGGGGGGGGCAGTGAATTTAGGCAGTAGCTTCTTTATATGAACGCCCAAGTCTAAAATGCCAGCCGAGGATAACAATATCTCTACCAGCAGGGAGCAGTACTGAAAAGAGCTCGATATCTCGTTCAGATCCTCAAGGTCAAGAACTTGTGTACTCCTGTAGAGACAGCTGCTCCCAGACAACCCCCAGCTCCCCCCCCCCCCCGACCCTATCAACTCCCCTTCACTAGTATCAATGTTATCAACCATGTGGATTGACTTGCATCATTTGCCTTTACGCTTGCCCTTTTTTACGAGGCGGCTGGTTCTTCCCCATCACTTCTTTTGAGCTAAATATCATCACGATATTGCAGGTTGGGATTGCGCAAGTCTCACCACTAGAGGTCACATGTTGCAGACAGTAATGATTTAAAACCTGGTGAGAAAGCTGGCTAGAACCAACACGGCATTGTTTATACAAGTGGACTAACAACCCGGCTGATCAACACCGTGCTCCAGAAACAAACGCCAAAACGGGCCCACATGCTTATTTTAGCTTGCGAAATCAGCCCTTACCCAGGATGTGTTGTGAATGTAAATGAAGTCCGAGTGAAGGGACATATTGGTAAACATCCCCCTCTCTCGCTGCCGGGCCGTGACACAAGATGATGTGTGTTAATTCCAGGATTTGTTGTCTAATTATCTAAATATGGCTTAGGTGATGTTAACTGCCAAATACCAACATTCTCGTGTTAGACCATGCCAACACTCTGCATGGCAGCCATTAATTACAATCTGGAAGTAAATCCAGGATTTTTCAACACTATGCATCTCTGGTGCAGACATCACTCATTTGTAGAATTCAACCTACACCTGCCCTACCATGGTGAAAAACACACCAGTAAAATAGGGACCAGCAAAATAAATCTATATCTGCTGATTTTTTTCCAGAACCCCAAAAAAGTCCAAGCAAACAATTCTTTTTCTCACTCTACGCAACATCACCGATGGAATATATTTTCCGCCAAGATATCTGCAGCCTGCAGGAATTAAAGACCTTTTGATCCATATTTTATCAATTGTTCCACAATATATTCCTAACCCAGTGGCATGAGGTTCCGGTTTGGGAAGCCATCTCTTTAAATTTCTTGAGCATGTTGTTCGTATTGAGTTAACAAGCCTCATCCCCTGTCTGATTATACCAACCTCTTCAACTCAATACATTACAGGAGGGACCCACGGTAACTAGGCAGGATAAATAATGCCTGAATTTCTTAAAACTTTTAACAGAAAACTCAATTATGAAGAGACAGAAACCTCTGGAATGCCTTCTTAAGGGTAAACCATGTGTAGGACTGATCAAAATGCGAGGCAAACATTTCAGTAATCAGGTGAAAAGATTCCACGGGAAAAACTCAGGGATGTGGGATATTTGTGTGTCTCATTATATATACTGAGCAAAAATATAAACCCTCAATGCAATACTTCAAATATTTAAAAATTAATTTGGTTGTTGAATGTGCTACAGATTAATAGCAGTTGATTTGGTGTCACCCATTACATTACACAAACAATTCACTTTGGGGTGGGGGGGGGGTATATTTTTGCTCAGTGTACATTATAAAATATTCTGTAGAAGTGATAGAAGAAGTCAACTTACAGCAACTGGACTTTGTTTAGCCCATACAGCCACTTCTTGGTGACCACGCTGATGTTATTGGCATCAAGATATCTGAAAATCAGAAAATACAGCTGTATAATACATAGCAAAAACAAAAAATAACGTACATATTTTATATCTTTATTCATTTAGTATTTTTTACACAATTTCTGACAAAAAATTTTAATGTTACAATTAAAAGCAGAATAAACTAATTTAGAAATAAGAAAAATTTCACTTCGATACAGAGGTTTAAGTCATGACTTAGCTAAAATGTGCCAAAAATCCTGGAAATCGTTGTTGCAGCTTTTAGTCATCACTCCACAAAAACTTTAACAGCAGAAACATTGGCAATCACCTATCAACCCTTTCTGAAACTATCTATGTGTCTGTTAACCAAGATGAGCCTAAATTTCAACACGTGTCTTTCTGCAAATTATCATTTAACTTGAATGTCACAAACTATTTAACATTTACAAGATGTTTCAAAGGTCTCAGGTTTAGGTCCCATGGGTAAATACGACATTTTTAAAAGGAAAAACTGAAAGATAGTGACAAAAATGAATTCTAAAACGCCTTCATTTTCAGGACATGTCAAAACAAATTTTCCCTGAAATTCCTATACTAGTAAACAATACATTACTTACAGATTTTGTATATTATGCAGTCCATAAAACGCGCCATCCGCCATGGCCTTGAGCCGGTTTTTCTTGAGCTTCAGCGTAATTAGGTTGTCTAGTCCTTTGAAGGCAAGACCATTGATCTCTGTGAACCGATTGCGGCTGAGATCCCTAGAAAATATGAGAATATCGTGCATAACAACTCATGTAGATTGAACTTATCTAATAGTTTAACATTAACTGATCCAAATTTTGGACAACTCAGGATGATTCAAAGTGGTCAAAATCATTACAAAAAAAAAATCACAGACAAATTAAAAATTGAAGAGATTATCGAAGACTTTCCAAATCCCCATGACAGATGCATGTATTGACTGATGTCATGACTTCATGCTAAAACAATACTAGAATGAAACTGTTTCCAGGCAGAAGACACGCAAACTCTCTTCCCTACCAAAAATATACACAAAATGCCAACTAAGAGCCCAATATTTTGACAGAAGTCTACTTTGTTGATACTTTCACACCTTAAAATGTGTTGAGTTTGGATGAAGAGAACTGGCTATTAGTGTCAGTGTGTGTGTGTGTGTGTGTGTGTGTGTGTGTGTGTGTGTGTGTGTGGGTGGGTGGGTGGGGGGGTGGGAGGGGCAATTTACCTTTGTTGCAATTTATTCACTTGGGATCAAAATGTAAATGTTGAAATATAATATCTTTTCCAGAAGTTTTATTTGTCCTATAACTCTCTTGCAAAATCTTTCTCTTTTTCTGTATCCTTAAAAACTCTTTAAAAAAATCAGTCATATTTTTGAATCATGCGATGTGTGGCCATTTCTACATATATATATATATATATATATATATATATATATATATATATATATATATATATATATATATATATATATATATATATATACTCTCCACATAATAAGCAACTTTCTCATTATTTTTTTCCTCTTTACAATGCATGGAAAACCTGGGACACTGAAATCTAACACAGTAATAAAAGAGATCAATGGTATCCATGACAAGGGCAGGCAGTACTGCACCAGGGGCCCATTAACATGGATGATCATCTATTTTGTGAGGTAACACAGGGTCCCATCCATCACCAAAATTTTGACAACGCCAGCACCATATAAAAAACCCACCATTATGGCGGCCAGCGCCATGTCAAACACACCATTATGGCGGCCAGCACCATGTCAAACACACCATTATGGCGGCCAGCACCATGTCAAACACACCATTATGGCGGCCAGCACCATGTCAAACACACCATTATGGCGGCCAGCACCATGTCAAACACACCATTATGGCAGCGTGGACGGTGAACACGACTGCCTCATGTTTGGGCTTCTTGTTACAGTGAATACAGAATATAACTGTCACACATGCAATGACACCATGCAATGTTTTTTTCTACAAGTCTTTAATTTATTTTTTATATATTTCTAAAGAAAATGTTCTGTACTTATTTTTAACCACCTGTTACATACACATGCCCAAAGTTTTGAATAGATGAGAAATTTAGTTGACCTATCAAAAAGGTACATTATGCTGAGATGAGACTAGAGAAAAGATATGGCCCTTTCTGTGGTTATCTTACCGCCCCCCCCCCCCCCAGCCCCACCCCCACCCTGTATGACAGCCAATACAGCACCTGTCACCACAGTCCGCCCCTAGAGTCACACTATCCAATTACTGTCATGTGAATCAATTTAGTAATTTTGTCACTCGGCCAAGCACCCTCAGACTTTGTCACAGATGTTGACAAGTCATGTTGTTGCGCAATAGGACAACTGTCATAATTGATTCTATGCATGTTTTTTTACAATCGCATTTCTTTACACTAAAAAAAATTGCATAATACTCTCCGGAATAATATTTATCAGTCTCAAAGGTTACAAAGACTAACTGAAAAAACATTTGTATAACATTTGAGCTTCTTTCTTCATGCGTCAAAACATCTTTCATAATTGTTAAAAACATTTTTGCTCAGTCGATGCTGGTATGAAGTGGGAGATCCACATCAGTTGTCGCTGAGTTTTCCAGATCCAGCAGTTTCTGTTGTTAAAAGGGGTATTGTTTAAAGAGTGTCCTCCGTACCTCGTGTCAACTGTCACAATAGGGAGCCTGGTACGTTAAGTTTTTTTCACGATTTAATTAGTTACACAAGCAGCACCTGCAGCGCGTAGCAGAGAGTGCTTTGGTAGCCAGGCTCACCATAACTCTATTACAATACCTCTTTTCTATTGAAAAATCTTTTATTAATTAATTTATTTTTATTCATTCATAAATCTTTTTTTTAGAATACTCCTCCCAAATATCAAATAAAGAATCACTTTCTACAGTTTTCAACCAGACACCTTGGATTTGTTTTTCAAAAATAAATAAATAAATAAATAAATAAATAAATAAATTGCGCAATTCATCCTGTTCAGTGAGTGTAAAAAGAGGTTGATGTGCGCAATACTTACAAAAATTTCAATTTTTTCAGCTGCCGGAAGAGATCTTTGGGTAACCCAGACAACCGATTTCTGCTGATCTTCAGAACTTCCAGTTTGGCTAAGTTGTCCAAGGTATGCTCCTCCAAAACCTTGATCTTGTTGTTGTTTAATGTTCTGGAGAATAAAAAAGAAAGAAAATGGATGCCTTTTTCATGAACTCATAAATAGATCTTCAATGTGAATAGACTGATATGCTGTTCACTCTAAATAAATAATAAGTTTTTTAATAGACATTCAATTAAAAGAACTTTTATCAAAGTCTAGTTTTTTTAAAAAAATTACCAACTAGATCCATTGTTCAAAATGTAAAGAACAGATGTTGTTGTTTCCACGTCTTTTCAATTCATTTAGATTTCCATCAATTAATCATAGAATTTCATGTGTTTGTGTCCCTGATACAAGTTCAGTGGGAACAGTGGCACAAAACTGCCACACAAAGTCACTGAAATAATACTTATCAAAACCCACAGGTGTGAAAAATTTACAAGATATACAGAAAAAAAGCTTTTTCAAAGAGTATGAGGGAATTCTATACAGAATGGCTGCACTCTTTAATTATCTAGAAATGTGCACGTATTTATTATTCTTGTATCATTGTTGTTCAATATATTTTTCAAAAGCTGCATCAAGCACTCCACCCAACGCACAAACCCCATCTTGATCAATACTTTCTGCTTTCTCTTAGCTCTTGTCAAAATACTAAAGGTGCTAAAATGTCACATCACTTTATGTGCAAAAAAAAAGGCACTTACAGCTCCTACTGATAATATTCCAAGAACAGGAACTGTAGAGGTAGAAAAAAATCTTGGAAAATTAGAATGCACTATAATCTGTACACCAGATAAGCAATAAGCCCCAAAAAAACCTCACAGTCCTCTCTGAAAACACGACATTTTAGTCACCTAAAGAAATCTATACCAGGGTTTAACTCGCCTCTGATACGCTTCAGTGAATTTCCACTAAGCCCTCATCCAATCATCAATAGTCAATGACTTCACTGACCCCTCCAATTATTAACATAAGATTTTGACACGTTTTTATCCACCCAATCCCCACACCAGATTGATCAATGTGTAAAAGTATTGTACTAACATTCTCTTATGGGTCCCTCCCTTCAGACAAATGATAGGGTTTGTGGGAGGGGGGGAGGGGGGGGAGGAGGCGAGTAAGAACAGAGAGTGTTTTTCCAAGGGAGACATGAAATATTATGAGACTTATTTCCCCACAGCAAAATATCATAACTAGAAAAGTACTCAGAAAGCAACCACCACATTCCGCATGCTCCTGTTAGTAACTTTCGCTTTATATGTCACCATCACTTGTACTGCTTTTAATTGAGGTGTTTGGAAATGAAGTGTAATAAGAAATAAAATAGAAAGAAAGCAAGAAAGATATCTCTTTTAGAAGCTACTCACAGTTGCTGCATGGCACTGTTATTCTCAAAGATCCCCAACTTGATTTCTGTCAGTTTGTTCATGCTGAGATCCAGAGACTCCAAGGCAGGCAGGTCTTGGAGAACACTGCCATCTATAGCATCAATCTTGTTGGAGGCTCTGAAAAAGAGGAAGAGTGGTTCCACTTAATGAAAAATCAATTTGACATCCATTAGATGTAAAATCAAATATACAACTAGATTTCCAATTAACAATTTAAAAAATTCAAGGAAAGATTGTTTTGGTCTTTTTAAGACTTAGAGGGGGGAAAAAGGCTTTTACTAAAAAACAAAAAACATACACATGCCCCAAGTTTAAAATGAAATTTTGGTGAACCACAAAATAGTTGATCTTGAAAACCCTACAAAAATCAACAATATTTTAATGATGATGAAGCCCTGGCCTTAACATTCCATCATGGACTGATCATATTTCTCCGAGATATCGCTAGATGACAGATTGGCAGATCTCATGCGAGGGCAGCACGTGTCATTAGACCTGCAGGGGGCCCCAAGACAAACTCAATGCACGGCCAGCCACATGTTTAACTACTAACACAGCAGCAGAAAAACTTTGGTTAAAATCAACCCTGGTTTAGCATAGTATCACTGTACACAAATCCATCCACTGGCACAATCTCCCACCTCACAGCAGGGCAGATAATGTGCATCTTTTAAATATTCATAAAACTAAGACTCCTCTCTTTTCTTAAAACACACAATGCCACACCAAGCCCCCCCCCCTTACCCCTTCTCTTCAAAATCATAAAAATGCTTGACAAGGGCATTTTATTCTATTCTGCCTGGCCCTGGAGAGGGATGAAGCAGGAGCGGAGGAATTCTCCCCCTAGCAACAAGGCCTCAGCCCCTGCAGCTGGAAGGAAGCAGTCACTTTAATGTTACTAGTTACAGTGGTGTGGTGAATGCTGATGATACTGTTACTGCCGGCGGGGAGAGAACAACACTGCTGTAGTGAGGCAGAAAACACGTGAGGTGAAGTTTTGTAGATCTGTTTATCAGCAACAAGCTCTCCGTGCCAACATCAGTGATGGACCGAAATTATAATATTTGCCACTGCCGCAGGCTATTTGCTGATATTTTGTCCAGTTCAACTTTTATTGTCCTCTATGTTTTTTTTTTCCATGGACCTTAGAAGCAAAATGTTTAAGTGATGAAAAAAACATCCCAGGCTTGACGGCAATTTAGAAGTTTTCTTTTTATTTGGCATAAAAGTTACTGAAATGTTGTCATAACATAGAGAAACATGCTTCATAAAGCACAGACTGTCCAATTATGTTTGTTTTCTTGCGAGAAGTCAACCTCCACTCTGATATGAAACCCTAAATGTCAGCAATCTGTCAAATTTGCCTCCTGATATTTCACTGTGAATTTTGATAGGATAAGTGTCATTCCCTGTAAATTCTTTAAAACTATTCACATGTTTTGAATGTCTAAATTATTTCAGATATCTCAATAATTTCAAACTCAATTATTTTGAAAATTTCCTTTTTATCACTATTTCATTTCCATATATAATTTCCACAACTTTTGAAATGTAATTCAGAGATTTCCCCTCATCCTTTTATCTTTTGAAAAGGAACCCTCTCTCACACACACACACACACACACACACACACACACACACACACACACACACACACACACAGAGAGAAAAAAAGATGGGAAGAAAAACTCAAACCATTTTTCTACCCCCTCCCACTTACATGCCACTCCAATCCAATCTAATCCCCTACCAGCATGCTAGCTCTAAACACGCCAAACCTCAAAATAACAAAGACTAAAAGAAAAACTCTTCTTCTTCTATGTCTCATGTGTCATTTTTTCATTCAGCAGCCAAGGCACTTGCTCCCTCTCTTTTCTTTAATATAAAAGCCTATTACATGAAATTGTCAGCAACTTATGGTGATATGTCACTGTCAAGTTAATAAAGACATCTGTAAAAGGGACAGAAATAAACTGCAGCTGGTTAGAAAAAGTGACGTGGAAATTTAACTTCAGATGAGGTCCAACAAGAGAAGGGCATGGTGAGAGAAAACAGAAAGGACGGAAGAGAAGAGTGCAGGAAGCTCCCTCTGCTGTCTTCTGGTCCAGCTNTACTTCAGATGAGGTCCAACAAGAGAAGGGTACGGAGAGAGTGAACAGAGAGGACGGAGAGAAGAGTGCAGGAAGCTCCCTCTGCTGTCTTCTGGTCCAGCTCGCAGCTGTCAATTTTTATTTACTACCTCCAACAAAGAGGTTATGTTTTCCCTTCTGTTTGTGGGTTGGTTGGTTTGTTTGCCTGTGCCCAACATTAAGCATAGAGTCATGGACGGATTTTGGTGTTGATAAATTAATTAATTAATTAATGGTTAATATTACTTAATTTATTCGTCGTGGCAGAGGTTGCAATGTCTGACTGCTTTTCTACTTTACCCATTTATTTATTTATTAATTTATCCATTCATCCACTCATTTTTTAAAACTTCAATCATTTGTCTCATCTCACACATTTTTAAAATTTGACAATTCAACATTATTAAAGTTTCCACCCTGAGGATCAGCAATATCCTCCTCTCAGGACTGCGCCATTCTCAGGGTGGGTATCAGGAACGCTCTCTGCCAACAACTGGATGTAATTTGTTGCTGTGGTGTTCAGGGCGTTGAAGACTTGTCATCTTCCTCCCTGCTCGCCTCAAGTTTCACAGATTTGACAGCTACGCTGACAGCTCTGACCTAATTATTTCCACCAGTGTTCAAGCAGAGAGTGGTGAATGCAGTGTGTTTTTTGGGAGGAAATTTTGTAACTGAGACTCTGCAACGGGTTTTGAAGAACAAAAAATCTCTGAAGGGATTTTCTTTTTTGTTCCATATATATTTTTGGTGCATCTGTCTTTAAAACTCAAATTTTATGTATTTTATTGAATTGAAAACTTCTAAACTTATGAAGGACAAGGACATTTCTCTCCCTTTGAGATAAGAATTATTACACTCCTTTGCTCTCTATCTCTCTCTCTCTCACACACACACACACGCACACACACACAGTACTCTGTCACTATGTGTGCATCATCTCCTCGTCGTATTCATTTCTGGACAGGTTGTCTACCAGCATGTTCCACACACAACTCTGCTCACAGCGCAGTGGCTAGAGGCCAAGCATGGCTGCCATGTTGGACATCCACGGCACTTTTCTTTGATTTCACTCCAGTCCAACATTCCAAGAATGTTACCAGGTCATTTATTCATTTATTTCTTCGCCATGTTATATTAAGACTTAACATTTGCCTTTTACATTTTTTTTTCAAAATACTTATACTTCATTCAAAATCCATTTTAGCTAAAATTTGATATTTTTTATTCCATTTTATTTTTTTTTATTTAAGCAGCAAGAAATAAGCATCAACATTTCCATCAAATTATCATAATCATTATTAATTGTCCCAATTTTAAAATTCCAATTTCAAAAACCTTAAGGGTTTGGAAGGAGGGGGGGGGGGGGAGAGNATCTGTGACACCTGGATGACAAGGCTTGGTGACATTGCAGTCTTATTTACACCTAAAACACACACCTGGGCCTGTATAGGAGCAGGACTTTAGACTGGTTACTAACTGAACTTGAAACTTCAAAACCAAAGTTTTGGGTTGTATTCAGAACACCAGACTAACTAGTACTTGGATGAAATATGGCGACCCACTTAAAATCTTGTCGTCTAATCCCCTAATAGACACTGAATATATTAAATCATTATGCGATAAGCAAACAAGTGGGTCGGCCATATTTGATCCACAGACTAATTAGCCTGCTGTTGTCAATGCGGCCTTTGCAAACTCTGACTCACAGCAGATCATATGCTGAAGTCAAGAACAGAGACACCCAGTTTAAATGCTACCACTGACACTCCATAGTAATACTTACAGATTCAACACCCTCAGTTCAGTCTTCAGTCCTAGTTTTGGCATAGCAGTCAACATGTTATTGCCAATTTTACTGAAAAGAGAAAAAATATAATACAGTACAGTCAAAACTTTGACCAAATAAGATGCCTTACTGAGTTATAACTTGCATTATGAAACAAAAGAAGAAAAGGGTGCTTTCAGGCAATGCAATAAAAAAAGTCAATAAATAAATGAATATGGTTAAAATTATTAGCTCTCTCTCTCTCTCTCTCTCTCTCTCTCTCACAAGAATGTTTGCGTAATAACAAAATATTTTAAAAATGTTCAAAAACTTTCCATAGTAATTTAATTTTCACATCACCTTTCACCTTTTGATAATCTTTTTTAGACAATTATTCAACGAACTACAAAAAATTAATTATTTTAAACAGGGGAAAATTATACCCTCACGTTCAAAATCCCTGATTAACTACCATACAGGCGCATTTTTCCACGGCTCACACACTACCTCTCAATGCTCAGTTTGGCCAGCGGGGACAGTACTATGGAGTATCATGATGGAGGAGGTGAACCAGGGCCATTAAATGTTGTTTTTGAGCAGCTGAGGAGTCAAAAGTAGTGTCATCAGCTACTGTCACCTCCACCAGCAGACTACAGCTGAACTGGACCATATCCACACTGGTAGCTAATTACGCCAGGCCTACTAACTTAACAAACATCATAGTGGACCCATACACTGGACACAGTAGCCAAATGATGAACGTAAATTGTTTTGGCTCCAAGGTGTTGGGTGTCAATTTAACTACATAATTCTACTACATCTGCTGACACTACCTATACTTTCATTACTTGATTTTTTTCTTTCTTTTGTATGAACTGTGAAAAGAAAATTTAAGAATTATTTTGAGCATAAAACTTCAAAATTTATATTATTGGCAGCATATGCGCAAACAAGGTTAACCATCTTTTGCTTCAAATCTGTTATCTATGTCTTACAATTTCTAGATAAATGCTAAGTAATTTTGACTCAAAATTAAACATAAAACTAGACCAAGTCATCACTGACATAATTTCACCAGCATTTATGATGTTAAAAGGGAGAGAAACAGAGATGAACTGAAAAAGTTTCCGTTCTTCAGCCATGAAATAAACTGAAATGCAGCCATTCAGTGTCGTCTGCTAAGAATTTAACCTGTTGTTGCCAAGTCACATATTTATGTCTGGGAGATTATTGCTGTAATTACCTCATACAAAACAGAACTTTTTGTTTTCAACTTCAATATTCTGGCATATTTTCACTTTAAAAGTGAAAGAAAATGAGTGGAATGTGTTTCTGCCTGATGGACACTTTATAAGACCCACAGTTTAAGCCCCGTTCAATAAAACCAATGCTATTTATGTTTCTCAGTCCCACAGAGGGCTTTGTGTTTACACAACTCACATTTCTCCCTATTTCTNGTTTCTGCACCCACTCACCCCCACGTCCCACCAAAATGATACCAAACTTTTGTATTGATTGGTAAAACAACATCCCATTCCATGTGCTCAGGTCAAGACGTGACCTCTGAATGAATACAATCTAATTAAATGATTCAGAGAGAAAAGAATTTCAATCAATCACTTTTCTTCTTGCATGTTTCGGTTTCTTTTATCACGAAATTATGAATTTTTTTGGACGATCATAAGAAATGAATAGATTAATTTTATGGAAAAAATCAACCATTTGAGAGGGGTTGATTCAATGAAACAAAAAATTTAGGGGTAATTTATATGTGGTCTAACATATAAAAACTGAACAAAAGAAGGGGTCAAGATACCATCCAAATTGTAAAGAGTCAAAAGAAGGTAGAATGGGAAAACATCAAATTAGGTCAAAAACTTGCCTCCCAACTCAATAATGTAAGCTATCTGGGGCACAAATGATCTCCCAAATATGATGTTAACCTGACATGTCACACAAATGTGCAGATTTAAACAGAACTTGACCTGTCAGATTTTTTTCACGAATTTTTATGGAGTCACTCATCTCTTTCTCTTTCTCAAACAAACACACACACAGCACAACTCTCTTAGAACTGAAATTTAGATTAAAACCATCTTCAGCACAATACACAGGTTACAGAATATGAATTATATAATCAAAACTGCTCAAACACTGGGGAGTCTTTTCCACCTGCAACATGCCAATAAGACATCAGTCAGAGAGAGTCAAATCTTGAGATTGCATGAGGCCAGTGAGGCCATGTAACGGGTCAAACCAAAGCCAAGGAGAGCAAACGCAAGATGGACATTAGCAGCCATAAAAAAAGACCCTCAAGAGGCAGAGACTGCACCCTCTTAGCTCATTTCTTGGAGATGACCAAAGGTGGCTGTCCTGTAATCCAGATCAAATCTTCAGAGTGTGTCATACAAGAGGAAAGCACTTCCTGACTCCTGAGACTAGCACACACACAGACCACACAGTATTCTTCATGACATTTGTGGTCCAAATAACTTTCACTTTCACTTTCACTAGCCACGCCCAACCCATTCACACACACCCCAAAATATAAATAAATAAATAAATAAATAAATAAATAAATAACAGTATTACAGCCACAGAAAAAAAATGAAAAAAATCTACTGATTAAGAATTATTTTCAAAGAATTATTAGGATTTTGAACTGTACTTACAGCTCCTGCAATCCTGGTAGATGTGAAAATACTGATGCATTGACGCTGGTCAGCTGATTTCTGTTTAAGTTCCTGAAAAAAAAATACAGTTCTTTTAGATTTCTCTTAATATATTCATATTTAGTTCAGACATTTATTCATAATATGTCCTACTGATAGGAAGCATTAATGGGGGATGGAGGGAGAGAGGGAAAATACCAAAAGAATGTATAGTATTGCCTCCAGATCCTGATCTCTCAGCAAATGCTAAATATATTCATGTTTTTGCAAAGGAAATAACAGTTGAGAAATCATGGAAGAAAAGGTAGGAGAGAGAGTAATATCAGCCCAGCTTTATTGAACTTATTGCATTGCCTTTTTGCTATTAAAAGAACCAATCCCAATAGCAACTCAAACTTTCCCCTCTCAGTCACGTTTTCACACCATTGCCCCATAGTAGCAGTATGCATTTCATCACTCCGCGTAAGAAAACAAATCAAAACTTAACTATTCCCCCCAAGCCCCAATCAGATTCCCTGGAGATAAGCACTAAGCTGCTGAAGTGGGTTATTCTATTCCATCAGCACACTCCCGTCTTGGCTACCAAGATATGCGCTCTATTCACTTCACACCTGGGCCTCTTTAAACTTGTGGTTTGTTTTCAATGGACCCATTATGCAACCCATGCTCAGCTACCTTGAATGGCTGGCCCTTTACTTCAGTTTAATTCACAATTGTGGCAAGCAGGAAGCTTAATTATTTAACAGGATGACTGGTATAATACAAAACCCATAATATTGTCAACTATTACCATATTTGTTCAATCATTATGAAAAATTTATGAAAAAGTCCTTTTTTGTTACAGAGCAACACCTGCAGAGCATCCATGTCACACAACTATGAAATCGCTTCTAACGTCAACGTCAACCATATTACGATCTATGTACAGTGTTCAACACCAATCAACAGGTTTCTCTATAAAAATTATCCACACATGCAAATTAAACATTAATTTTCCTTCAAAGTTGTTCAGGTGGTTGACGTTCTTTTCGTCAGCATTTCAAATTCAATTCCTTCAGCTGCACATATGTTACTCCACGGCATGGAACACCTGTGATGCTGCATCATTGGATATCAAACATGGTTCTAAAATTGCCAAAGAATGACAGCCAACCCTCGTCTGATCAATACAAGTCACTGACACCAGTTATAATATTAGTCTTATTTCAATATACGCCACCTGTTCTCTTCTCTGTTTCATAAAGAACATACCAAAAAACCAAACAACAAAAAAATGAAATAGATTTTTTATTGTCTCTTGTACAATGACAGTAACAAAAAAACTTGTTTCTCAAGGGATAGCGTGATTTTTACCTTCCAGGTGTGTTTAAAAAGGAGTCAAATGTCATGTCTCTTAAGTAACAAACACTCTCTGCTCTCTTCATTTACATCTGTAACCAAACAACTTTTTTTCATTACATCCCCAAAGGGACAAATTTTAGTTGAGTGTAATTTTCTGTGCAGAAACATCCCTCCCATGAACAGTACTATTGCGTAATTAGTTGAACAGCAAACCTTGACATCTATCAATTACAATGCGTGCCCTGCCTGATTCAGAAAACCACCAAAAACACAGATCTAATCTCTTATCAAACTCCCCGAGCCTGGTCAACTTTGATCTCTAACAAAACCTACACATTTCATCTGCTTGAAACCAGCTACCATGGACACTGTCATAAACCATTTCCAGGGCCCTTCAAAATTTTTTTTTCCCTTTATCCCCTACACTTATCATCTCTGCTGGCCAATAAAATATAAAACAGCTACAGTTTGTGTATTTGTGTCTATTTGTTGCCTAGAATCAATTAAACATGCAATAGTGAAAGTGAATACACTTATCGTACCAACCATTTACATAAACTAAATCACAGCTATGTAGAGTTCATAACCACCTTGTTTCTCTTCAGTTATGAACAATATGGACAAGAAAGGGGGGTGTTAACAGTTTATCTCAATCCTAGTAACAATATTGACCATTAATGTCATATTAACACATTAATCATGGCAAGATAAATATTTAGGTAAACAATTAAGATCTAGGGTTATTGTGTATGATTTATACAACCAATGGTTTAGACTTAAGTTCAACATGGAGACCAATTGCCACTCATCAAACTCAAGTGACAGCAACATTATAAATATTTTCATATAATTATATCTGAAATTTGAAATGCTTCATGAAGTCTAGCTAAAATTAAGTGATGCTTTTCAATAAGTTGAACTGCAGAAATTTCTCATAGCCTCTCCATTAAAAGGTAAAAGTTCTTTACGAACCATAAATATTTTTACAGGTCATTTTGTTGAGTACACGTGGTGCATAGAAGTCCACAGATCTGTGTTCTAGTACAGTCATATGTAGACTTCCTAAGACTTTTCTCTGAATTGTGCCTTGTGGTTGACAGCTTATGATATTTATATAAACCATGAGGAGGAAATTGCTCACTTCTTCCCATTATAGAGGTAAATTAATTTTATTGCTTTTTTTTCTTTCTTATTTTTTCAGAAGACCAAACAGCTATAAAAAAACTAAGACATAAAACCAAACATTTTGTTATTCTGAAGCAAATACACAGAGAATAAAGTTTTTTGTCCATTTGGTATATATTTTCTTTAATTTAATATAGAAATATAAGGATTTCATATTCAATTTTTAAACATTTATATGCAGTCTTCCACCACATTTTGATTTCTTCTATACATACACATATACCAGATGACAACAGTTGACATCTGGCCCCGATACCTCTATAAAATTAAATTTTAAATCACAGTTCATCCGAATTTATTCAAAGTTGTAAATGACCAGGTGAGAAGAAATAGCACGCTACTTTTAAGTTAATTAAACCCATGAGTTTCTAAGGGATACCCCCACAACCCTCAAAAACATCCACTTTCAACTCAACACAATAGTTTCCCCACTCACTCCATACCAGAATCTAAGTAGGAATGAAACCATTAAATACCAATTTCAGTGATTACCCTCACCCTGTAATGGGCAGAGAGGTAACCAAGCATGCCACCAGGAGAGACAGGGGGGATAGTACAGATAGATTTTATTACCTCTGCTGTTTTCTACAAGATTCACTCTAAAGTTAACCAGTGACCACAAATGGGAGCTAACCAAGTCTTACCATAAAGAAAGCTTTGTAATTTGTCCTTTTGAATAGGATTATCTATTAGACAAGTTGTTATCTAGATTAGTCCTGTTTTCAACCACAGCAGTATGATACAAGCCGCTTGAGGTCACAAGATTTCTAGCTATCTGCGCCCCTATGCCAGACTATCTAACACATTTGTTTTAATTAAATTGATGAATTGCCTACAAAGTAATAAAGATGTGCCTTATTAGCTGGAACAATAAATCAACACACTTCCCCCACTTTCAGCAATCACTTGTCCTAGAACAGTGCTGAGTTAGGTCAGACAAAATCAATGCAGGTTAAAAGATCAAAATATGTTCACATGTCTTGTGATTGAATTACCCTGAATTTCATTCCAGTTAAAGCCAATCTTGTTTTCCTAGATACCCCTGTAACCTGCTCCCTCTCAACAATTCCAACATTTTTATCTTCTCATCACAAAAAAATATCACTTACTTACATTTACTCTATCATATAGGCATAATACAAACTATCTGAAACACAAAATTATCTAAATATTGATTTACAAATTGAACCTCACACCTGTAAAAGTTCAGTTAATTCAGAATCAATCACTCAAATCAGTGAAGTGGAACCAGTAGCTAGGTCAGCACTGGGGGGGGGGGGGGGGGGGGGGNTATTTCTGCACCCACTCACCCCCGCGTCCCACCAAAATGATACCAAACTTTTGTATTGATTGGTAAAACAACATCCCATTCCATGTGCTCAGGTCAAGACGTGACCTCTGAATGAATACAATCTAATTAAATGATTCAGAGAGAAAAGAATTTCAATCAATCACTTTTCTTCTTGCATGTTTCGGTTTCTTTTATCACGAAATTACAAATTTTTTTGGACGATCATAAGAAATGAATAGATTAATTTTATGGAAAAAATCAACCATTTGAGAGGGGTTGATTCAATGAAACAAAAAATTTAGGGGTAATTTATATGTGGTCTAACATATAAAAACTTAACAAAAGAAGGGGTCAAGATACCATCCAAATTGTAAAGAGTCAAAAGAAGGTAGAACGGGAAAACATCAAATTAGGTCAAAAACTTGCCTCCCAACTCAATATGGTAAGCTATCTGGGGCACAAATGATCCCCCAAATATGATGTTAAACTGACATGTCACACAAATGTGCAGATTTAAACAGAACTTGACCTATCAGATTTTTTTCACGAATTTTTATGGAGTCACTCATCCCTTTCTCTTTCTCTCTCTCTCTCAAACAAACAGACACACAGCACAACTCTCTTAGAACTGAAATTTAGATTAAAACCATCTTCAGCACAATACACAGGTTACAGAAAATGAATTATATAATCAAAACTGCTCAAACACTGGGGAGTCTTTTCCACCTGCAACATGCCAATAAGACATCAGTCGGAGAGAGTCAAATCTTGAGATTGCATGAGGCCAGTGAGGCCGTGTAACGGGTCAAACCAAAGCCAAGGAGAGCAAACGCAAGATGGACATTAGGAGCCATAAAAAAGACCCTCAAGAGGCAGAGACTGCACCCTCTTAGCTCATTTCTTGGAGATGACCAAAGGTGGCTGTCCTGTAATCCAGATCAAATCTTCAGAGTGTGTCATACAAGAGGAAAGCACTCCCTGACTCCTGAGACTAGCACACACACAGACCACACAGTATTCTTCATGACATTTGTGGTCCAAATAACTTTCACTTTCACTAGCCACACCCACCCCATTCACACACACCCCAAAATATAAATAAATAAATAAATAAATAAATAAATAAATAAATAAATAACAGTATTACAGCCACAGAAAAAAAAATGAAAAAAATCTACTGATTAAGAATTATTTTCAAAGAATTAATAGGATTTTGAACTGTACTTACAGCTCCTGCAATCCTGGTAGATGTGAAAATACTGATGCATTGACGCTGGTCAGCTGATTTCTGTTTAAGTTCCTGAAAAAAAAATACAGTTCTTTTAGATTTCTCTTAATATATTCATATTTAGTTCAGACATTTATTCATAATATGTCCTACTGATAGGAAACATTAATGGGGGATGGAGGGAGAGAGGGAAATACCCAAAGAATGTATAGTATTGCCTCCAGATCCTGATCTCTCAGCAAATGCTAAATATATTCATGTTTTTGAAAAGGAAATAACAGTTGAGAAATCATGGAAGAAAAGGTAGGAGAGAGAGTAATATCAGCCCAGCTTTATTGAACTTATTGCATTGCCTTTTTGCTATTAAAAGAACCAATCCCAATAGCAACTCAAACTTTCCCCTCTCAGTCACGTTTTCACACCATGGCCCCATAGTAGCAGTATGCATTTCATCACTCCGCGTAAGAAAACAAATCAAAACTTAACTATTCCCCCCAAGCCCCAATCAGATTCCCTGGAGATAAGCACTAAGCTGCTGAAGTGGGTTATTCTATTCCGTCAGCACACTCCCGTCTTGGCTACCAAGATATGTGCTCTATTCACTTCACACCTGGGCCTCTTTAAACTTGTGGTTTGTTTTCAATGGACCCATTATGCAACCCATGCTCAGTTTCCTTCAAAACCAGCTACCTTGAATGGCTGGCCCTTTACTTCAGTTTAATTCATAATTGTGGCAAGCAGGAAGCTTAATTATTTAACAGGATGACTGGTATAATACAAAACCCATAATATTGTCAACTATTACCATATTTGTTCAATCATTATGAAAAATTTATGAAAAAGTCCTTTTTTGTTACAGAGCAACACCTGCAGAGCACCCATGTCACACAACTAAGAAATCGCTTCTAACGTCAACGTCAACCGTATTACGATCTATGTACAGTGTTAAACACCAATCAACAGGTTTCTCTATAAAAATTATCCACACATGCAAATTAAACATTAATTTTCCTTCAAAGTTGTTCAGGTGGTTGACGTTCTTTTCGTCAGCATTTCAAATTCAATTCCTTCAGCTGCACATATGTTACTCCACGGCATGGAACACCTGTGATGCTGCATCATTGGATATCAAACATGGTTCTAAAATTGCCAAAGAATGACAGCCAACCCTCGTCTGATCAATACAAGTCACTGACACCAGTTATAATATTAGTCTTATTTCAATATACGCCACCTGTTCTCCTCTCTGTTTCATAAAGAACATACCAAAAAACCAAACAACAAAAAAATGAAATAGTTTTTAATAGTCTCTTGTACAATGACAGTAACAAAAAAACTTGTTTCTCAAGGGATAGCATGATTTTTACCTTCCAGGTGTGTTTAAAAAGGAGTCAAATGTCATGTCTCTTAAGTAACAAACACTCTCTGCTCTCTTGATTTACATCTGTAACCAAACGACTTTTTTTACATTATATCCCCAAGGGGAAAAATTTCGGTTGAGTGTAATTTTCTGTGCAGAAACATCCCTCCTCTGAACAGTACTATCTGGTAATTAGTTGAGCAGCAAACCTTGACATCTATCAATTACAATGTGTGCCCTGCCTGATTCAGAAAACCACCAAAAACACAGATCTAATCTCTTATCAAACTCCCCGAGCCTGGTCAACTTTGATCTCTAACAAAACCTACACATTTCATCTGCTTGAAACCAGCTACCATGAACACTGTCATACACATTTCTGGGAACCCTTCAAAATTGCATTATTTTTTCACCTTTATCCCCTACACTTATCATCTCTGCTGGCCAATAAAATATAAAACAGCTACAGTTTGTGTATTTGTGTCTATTTGTTGCCTAGAATCAATCAAACATGCAATAGTGAAAGTGAATACACCTATCGTACCAACCACTTACATAAACTAAATCACAGCTATGTAGAGTTCATAACCACCTTGTTTCTCTTCAGTTATGAACAATATGGACAAGAAAGGGGGGTGTTAACAGTTTATCTCAATCCTAGTAACAATATTGACCATTAATGTCATATTAACACATTAATCATGGCAAGATAAATATTTAGGTAAACAATTAAGATCTAGGGTTATTGTGTATGATTTATACAACCAATGGTTTAGACTCCGGTTCAACATGGAGACCAATTGCCACTCAACAAACTCAAGTGACAGCAACATTATAAATATTTTTATATAATTCTGTTTGAAATTTGAAATGCTTCTCGAATTCTCCCTAAAATAAAATGATGTTTTTCAATAATTTGACCTGCAGACATTTTTCATAGCCTCTCCATTAAAAAGTAAAAGTTCTTTACGAACCATAAATTATGTTTGACTATTCACAGGTCATTTTGTTGAGTACATGTGGTGCATAGAAGTCCACAGATCTGTGTTCTAGTACAGTCATATGTAGACTTCCTAAGACTTTTCTCTGAATTGTGCCTTGTGGTTGACAGCTTTTGATATTTATATAAACCATGAGGAGGAAATTGCTCACTTCTTCCAATTATCAAAGAGGTAAATTAATTTTATTGCTATTTTTTTTTT